TGTAGAGGATCTTCTATTAATCTGTCCTTGTCAGTTGAATTTTTAGACCCAGCCAGGGAACTTAAGACAGTCCACGAAAACTTAGGACAGTCCTCTCCTACAAACAGCATCATTGTTCTCCACCCACATCATTCGACCAGGCTTCAGAACACACCCTATGGCCATCTGGGAAACGCAACTAGTCTATGTGGAAAGTACATGACGATTTCCAAAGACTCTATGGAAAGGGAATGTAAAACAGTTGTTTACATGTTTATATTGGTGACTCACTGAAATAGTGTGTGGATCCACTGGGCCAAATAAAATAGAGTACTGAAAGTAATTCCATCTCTTCCTTTGACTTTCTTTTACATGTGACATATTTTTAATGTGGCTACTAGGAAATTAAGTTATGTAGCTGGCTTACATTATATTTCCATTAGACAGTGCCATTTTAGACAGCCTAGCCAGCTGTGGCTTCTGCTGAAGGGATTCTGTAAGGTAACTGTATTTTCTTTAGCTGGGAAAATAAAAAGGTTTACTCCTCTGTTTCTGCCCTTAGGAAGCCCCGTCCCTTCTCTGTGCTGAAGATGCCTCATCCTGGCTGGGGCCCACCTGCAAATCTCTGCCAGCTCCCTCATCTATCTAGTCTGGGCCACTGAGATAGGCCCCCAGACTCAATAAAGTTGTGTCCACATCACCAACCCCCTACACAGATCACTTGCCCTTGAAACTATGGAACAAGTGTAGCTAAAAACTGCCAACCTGTTGCTACCAGTACAAATGGCCACAGTGTTGCCCCAAGGAGCTTAGCTGCTGCCCACCCCGCTCCCCCCAATCCTTCCCTTCCTCACATTTCCCACATTTCCTTTCATCCCTCCCCAGGGTCCATGTTTTTCTCTTTCCAGGACTCCAGCTCCACATTCTATGATGGGCTCCAAGGGGCAGAATCAGAACTTTAGCAGTTTACACTCAGGGGATGGGGAGGTAAAGCTGATACCAGAAACTTCAAAAGAGAAGACCTCAAATTCTGGAGAAAGTTACCAAACAATAATGCCTGTGACCCTCAAGACACAAGGGGCAAATTAGAAGCTCAGCACCCTGTCTTTTTGAAAAATATACATTTATTTTTAAACAAATAAATGCTATGCTGAGGCCACATGAAGCCTCAACACTGACCCAGTCCTAGAGGCTCTGGAGGTGGAGCTGTGTGTGTCCCTGTGGCCTCCTTCCACTCACTGGCTGCAGGCAGGGCCCTGGATAAGTTTGCTCCATTGATCTGGGTCTCAATTTTCTCACCAGGAACAATGGGAACAATGCCATCTACCTCACAGAGCAGTTGAAAGGATTAAATTAAATAATGGATTTTTAAAAAGTGCCCTGTACATAATAGGTTTTTTTTCTTTTTAAGATTTATTTATTTATGCATACAAGAGCTGGGGTACAGGCCAGAGGTACAGGAGGCTGCGAAGATACACCAGAGACAGAGTGGAAAGCAGAACAGGCAGACTGACTGCAATACACTGCTGAGGGGAGCAGCGGGAGAGACAGGACAGGTCTACTGCGCCAGGTGGGTTGTTCCCTGGCCCTCTGGGATTGAACTCGTGCTGCAGAGGCTGCGGATAGCTTCACAGTGCTGTGCTTAACCCCGTGCGTCACCAGGGAGGCCCCTTAGTAGGTATTTAATAGAGATCAGACTCCTTCTCCTCACTCTTCCCCACAGCAATTAGGCAAAGAAGCTACTAAAAATCTCATGGGGAATTGAAAATAAATTTTCTAGACTGATTTTTTTTTTTAATCTGAACCTTAGTGCCTGGTACAATTTCAGACTCTGGCATGGGAGCTCTACAAAGGCAGGGACTACTTTTGCAGCCCTGGACAGTGTCTGGTTAAAGGTAAATCGTTGAATGTGATGGAGGATAAGGATAGAAAAACTGGGAAGGAGGCGCCACGGGACCAGAAACCTGGCTCACACAATTCCAAGAGCTGCAGGTGCCTGTAGAAGGGATTAACATAGCCACTAACCCAGCTATAGAAACCTAAGATCCTCAGGGCCAATGCTTAGATCACAAAGCACTGCTGTAGGGGGTGTCAAGAGAGCAGACCTGAAGGTAAAGATATGGAGATTGAGGGTCACAGCAGAAATCTGGCCCTTTCAAATTATACAGTTTATTCAAAGTCAACAACAAACAAACTACTCCAGGAAGGAGTGAGCCCCTCCCAAAGAGGAGGCTAAATCAGTACAACCTCTACACTGGCAGGGAGCTGCAGTCTTTCTGCCTCCTTCTGCCCACCTGTGCCTATGCAGGTGTTCCTTTTTGCCAACTCTCTGTCCCTCTGCAGGGCAGCAGCCTCTCTGCCTGCCCGTGCCCTGTGCCCTGCCGGTGCTTCTCTTCACTGACCTCCCTCAGTAGAGGCAGCTCTCCTGCCTGTGATCATGCAGGCCTCTCTTAGCAAATCTGTCCCTTTTAGGGCAGCCCTTTCTGCCTGTTTGTGTCTATGCAAGTGTTCTTTATTCTTCTCTTCCTGTTATAATAAACCTGCCCTTTTGGATGTAACTAATACCTCTGTTGTGGAGAAACTCGCCTGGGAAACTCGCCAGTGTTGGTGTAAGGGAAGCTCTGGTGAAATCTTTCCCAGAGTGACCCCAAGGACCCTCCACCCTCCATACCCGACAACTCCAAAAATGACATCAAATGAATGAATAAATTTTGGATTTAATGGAAGCAGGGGCTGTTGTTTGCAAAGAGCATACAAGAAGTATTAGATGTAAGATGACCGGAGTACAGGATTATGCTGATGTGAAATTTGTAGCCCATGGAGAATTATTCTACAGAGTGATATTTAAAACCTATTTTTGACAGTTTTTTTTCCTTTTTTTTCTAAGCAGCAAAGCTCAAGGTGTTTTGTTAATATTTCTCCTTCATTCAAGCCATGCTTTATTTAGAAAGATAGGTTAAAACAACCACAGTCAGGCCTTCCTGGTGGCACAAGAGGTTGTCTCATCACAATGAAGGGATCTGCAGAAGCTCAATCACCGGCCAGCCAGGGAGCTACCCACATGGTGTAGCAGACCTCTCCTGTCTCTCCTGCTGCTCCCCTCATCAGTGTATTTCAGGCATTAAATTAAAATTAATTAAAAAAAAATCTTTTTAAAAAAACACAGTCACCTCTATGGGAGGAAGCAAAAATAATTCAGTTTTTCATAACATTTTTGTTTAACAGCATGGCGTGTTAAGCCTAAAAGATCGGACTAAATAGCTGATAAAAGTATGTGCACTGTGTCAGTGTTTTCAAATGTAAAATTCTTAGTAGTTTCTGACCTTAGTGGAGACTTGGGGAGCAGAGTTGAGAGTTGAGAAATGAATAACTATTCTAATCAAAATTTAAAGCTATTTCTGGTTAAGTTCCCTCATGGGTGTGTGTGTGTTGGAGTGTCTAAAACCCTATTGATTTAAGCTTCCTGGTTGACCAAAAAAAATGTTGGATTCACTAATCTCTTACAAAAAAAACACCTTGCATTGTCTGATCCAACAGATCACCTGAGGGCTTTTCCCAGTTGGCTCTCCAGCCTGCCCCAAACAATGGGTGACTGTGTCCTAATCCTATTGTGCTACTAATAAAAAGATTTAGCCCTTTGGATGCTTGGCAGCTACTGCCTTTCACACTTGCGGGCCCCGCCACACCCCCCACCTCCCCTGCCAGTTTTAAGCATCTAAAAAGGAAAACTCCAATAATGCCAAGCAGACCAACAGGGCAGCAATGGGATATTAAAATCCACAGCCACAGTCACATCACCTTAGAGGAGACAGCTTGACAAATGCCCTGAATAATTCATCCCCAACTGTTAAATCAGTAGAATCTTCAGAACATCCATATCCACAGGTGAAAGAAAACTAGGTGTAGAATTTTATGTGGCCTGCTCATTTATATGCTAAAGAAGGCCTCTTTGCTTTTCTTTACACCATTACCCAACTGGCAGAATTTACTGGTCTGGGAAAATTTAGCTCAAGTTAACTTACTGGTGGTGAAGATGAACAAAATGGAAATCTGCCTTTACAGAGTTTTTCAAAATTGCTGGCCCAAATGAGAAATCTATAAATGAAATGTTCAATTTTCTAAATGCAATGAGGAGGTAAGAGAAAAAAGACCTACAAGGGTTACTGGTCATTTGTTAAAACAGGTGCTTGGGAAGAAGAGATATTGCATGTAGTCCAGATAAAGAAGGAGCCCATAAATACTTGCTTTAAATATTTGGAGAAGTCAATCAGATTCCTAACACTTCCAAGTTGCTAGTCATAATCACTTTGAGATGTAAAGACTTTGAAATTCACTTCCCAAGAAGACATAAAAGGCAGGATTAAGACATAAGCTTTCCAGGTCTTCCCAAGGTTTCTAGACCTTGAAAGTCTAGAGCAAGATTTCTACTCTATTGGGCAGGACTTGGCTATAAACCCCAGAGAAGGAGTTTGGCACTAAGCATTTCCACTACATCCTGGCTTCTATGTATAAAAGAAGGTAAGCAGAGTGCCAGATACTACCAGGGCACAGCTCTGCCCTTCCATGGAGCAGGAGAGACTGCATTCTAGGAAATGCAGTTCAGTCTGGCTAAAAAACACCTGCCAAATTCTGATGACACAGCATAGCCCAGCCCAGGAATTTCTCCCTAAGAAAGAATAGTCTCCTAGAAGCCGGTGGACTGATAAATTTCAGGAATGAGATGACTGAAAACCAGCAGATATTCCAGAAGCATGCTTTCTGTTGGGGGAGGAAAAATTGGGGGAGGGGGGAACATTTTGTTTCTCTGCCTGCCTGTCTCTTACACAGTGTCACCTAGTCACAATCACTCACCACTGTCAGCCACACTCTGACACAGAGTCACTCACAGTCACAAACAGTGTTGAAGTCAGAAAATCACAGCAGCCCACACAGTCAGGTACAGTTAGATACACGCTAACACACTCAGGCCCACAGAGGTAAGATGCAGTTTCCTCTGAACATCCACAAAGACTTCTACCCACCTGATTGCCAAACACAGCCACAGAGCAAGCAGTGGAAACTTCATTGGCCCCGAACCAGACAGAAGCGATGCGGGAGGGCATGCCCAGGATGAAGACCTGGGCCACGGAGCAGATGACCTGGCCCAGCATAGTGACTGGAAAGAGATGTGGCTTCAGGCTGCCCAACTTCACCCAGGCCCCCAGGCAGTTGAGAGCAGACCCGGTGAGGGCAATGGTGCGCAGGCCAAACTTCTCCAGCAGCCAGGCCACCGGCAGGAGCAGAGGGATGTAGGTCAGCATGTAGCACATGGACAGCCAGTCAATGTCGAAGGCTTGGACTCCATAGAAGTGCATGAAGATGTTGCTGATGGAGCTGTACTGGATCCACTGGAAGGCATTGCACAGGGAGTAACAGCTAAACACCAGGACGATCACCCACCTGCGCTTGCTCACCTTGATCACGCTGAGGTCGTCGGTACTACACTGGGGGGGCAGGTCAATCTGCTCAGCCAAAGCACTCGGTTGGGCGGAACTGCTGGGATGCGCAGAGACACTGGGGTGGATGGACACGATGGGGTGGATGGACACGACGGGGTGGGTGGACACGCTGGGTTGGATGGACACGCTGGGGTGGGTCGACTCGCTGGCGTGGGTCGAGAGGCTGGGGTCGCGCGCGAGTGGGGACTCCTGCGCGGGGCTGCCATCGTGTTCCTGCTGGTTGGAACCTTCAATCACCATGACCACAGCCCGTCCTGGAGCCCTGGACAGGTGCTGAGGACTCCGGTCGTCTTAAAGGACAGTAGCCTCGGCCGGTCCCTCAGAGCTGACAGGGCACTTGCAACCACCGGCCCAGAATATACAGCCCCGAGTCTGCGTAAAAGCCGCGGGTGTTGCTCCTGCGCTCACCCCCAAGCTTGGTGACCACTTCTCCTTAAGGTCTCTGTCCCCCAGGTCGGCAGCAGACGCCTCAGCCCGGTCCTGGCCGCTGGTGCCTTGGGTTCCCCAAGGCGTTCTGGCTGCTTTCAGCCCCTGCGTCCTGGAAAGATTTCGCTCCTTGTGAAGCCACTTCGCCGGACTCTGTCCGCTCCGGGACGGGCTTGGGGCCTCGCCCCCTTCGGGGCACGTGACCGCCCCGCCCCCGTCCGGCCCAGCTGCCCCCCCCTCCCCACTGCACCCCCTCCCCCTGCCTTCTCTGGCTGGACTGGCCTGGCCATGCCAGTTGTTTCGCCACAGTTTGCGGGGTACAGTCTTCCCTCACGCCCCGGGCGCCATGGAAACCACCCGGTTAACCCACACCCCCTGCACTGTCCTCCAATGCATTAGCTCCCTCCCCAGAGAACCCGTAAGCAAGTCTCCGCTGCCTGCTCAGGTGACCCTCCCCAAGAGTCCTCGGCGCCTTTCCGCATCCCGGGCCGGGGCGCATCGGTGTCAGGCACCTCCAAAGTGCCCTGGGGCATCCAAGAGAAATTCCCGACTTTCCCCCGCTTGGTAGGGCTCCCAAAACTTTGCTGAGCTTTCCGTACAAAGAGATACTTAGATTTCCAGGTCGAGTTGCGCTCTTGGGGCAAAGAGGAAGGCAGACAACTGGCTTTGCTCCTTGCTTTCCACGCGCTCTTGGGCTTGTCTTAAGGAACGCAGATTTGAAGCTGTGAGGCGGGGCTGGTATTTCCCGAGGGATCCGCCCGCGGCTCCTAGGTAGGGACCGCAGCGTGGAGGAGAATGAAGACACCCTTAGGAAGCTGGCGGTTTTCTGGTAAATTGCCCAGCACTGCACTAGCTCGGGCTGCAGCTTGTGTTTGCACCTATTTAGCGCGAGGCTGCCACCTGCCGGGCACAGCCCCTTACCAAGGGCGAGGCGTCAACTGTCTGCTCAGGGAGGTTGAGCTTGCAGGGCAGAAGTGCTGGTGTCCCCTGATCCATTTCACCCCTGCAGAAGCACGGGTTCTCCCTGGGTTCAAACATAGGCTCAGCTTCTTCTAATCTGTTTCTTTAGAAAGAGATTTCTTCATCTGTAAGATAAGGATGATGAAATCATACTGTTAGCAGGCAGAATGAGGGGCACCCCAGGACCCCCAAACCTGCCTCCTCTAAATGGGTTCTGTCATCTGCTGAATAAAGATAAAATATACTTAGTGTGTAAGACACTTAATAGAGGGGACTCCCCTGGTGGCACAGCGGTTGCACTGGGTTGCGGGGCTGCCCGCAGCTTCTGCAGCGCCAGTTCCATCCCCGGCCACCGGCGAGGGTCCCACAAAAAAAATAAAAAAAAGACATTTAATAGAAAAGAACTTTAATACAATTAGTGTGCAATTGAGAAAAGAGAAATATATATATATATACTTAAAATAGTATCCCCATGAAACACCCAGAGTTACCCATTCCCTTGTGAGTAAATGCCCAGCCAAACAGGGTTGGCCCAAAGCAGGGCCACAGAAGCCCACAAGCCTGCCACAAGTCTAAGGCATCATGGGTTGGTGGGGGGGGGCATAGGAAAGCGCAGAAAGGGACAGGCAAGTCCGGGACAGAAAAAAAAAAAGCAAAATCACAACGCAAGTCAAGATAAAGGCTGCCATTGCCAGCCTCCCCACAGGTCTCTCAACCTCACCTGTCTCTTTCAAGAGTCTCCTCCCATGTACCCCAAGTCCCTGGTACAAGTCCAAGGTAGACAAGTAAGCCCATCTTCCTCTCTCTGCTCCACATGCCTCCTCAAAAATCTCCTCCTTAGTCTTCTTCCTAAGAACTCTTCCCAGCCTTCTTCCAGTCTTTGCTTCTCCTCCAGCTTAGCTCAACCCATGGGTGGGGCAGGGAACCTGGAACCTTCCCTTTCTATAGGGCTTAGACAGTTATAGTACCACAGTGATATGCTGAGGCTTGAGCAAGTTAATACATGGATGGACTTGGGAAATGCCTGGCAGATGGTGAAGAGTCCATGAGTGTTGGTCATCCTAGTAGTTCGGAAGCTAGCATTTGGTTATATTGTGCTACACTTGCTTCCTGCACTGTCTCTTTTAAGCATCACAAGAAATCTGTGATATTGTTACTGCTGCTTGCCTACATTTTAGAGATCAGAAAACTAATCTCACAGAAGTAACTTCTTACTCCCAGCTGCCTTTAGGAGTCATCATTGTCATGCAAGTCTGTACCCATTAAAGCTCCAGCCTAGAGACTCAAGCGCAGTCTGCCAACAGCCCTGTGGGAGACCCCTGGGAGGAGAACAGAATCCCAGGCCCACTCCAGACCTTCTGAATTAGAAGCTGCTTTGTAAAAGATATCCACGTGATTCATTTGTCTCTACATTCAATTTGAGAACAACTGGGTGCCACTGATTCCTTTTTGCTTTCTATTTTAACCTTTAGACCCAAAATAAAGAATTTAAAAATCTGGGGTAGTGGTTCTCAATGTGAATGGCATATTAGAACCAAAAAGGGGCACTTTGAACACTCTCAATGCCACCATCACACACCACACAGGATCACTGCCCCCCGCCTCCCCAGCATCTGCAAATTTAAAGTCCATTAGTGCCTCACAGCCATGCACATGCACCTGGGATTGCAGACTGGGGCCTGGCGGGCCTGGGGATGACCTCCGTAGGGGGTTAGAATGACTGGGCCCCAGGAGAGGGAGTGGTGCTTGGAGGCACTCTCTGGTTTTGGTGGAAATTATGGCATTGTGGGTGGGTTATAATGAAATGTTTGAACCAGGAACTCATACCAACTAAGAATTTCTACACTAATGTAATACTCCCTATTCTCAACATTCCAGTAATGTCCCCCATTATCCGCCAGGCAGCACAGAACCTCCCGTCTTTTATAAGATTGTCTGGAACTTTTCACTGTTTCTTGTCCCTACGTCATCTCGAGCCAAAGCTCTTCAGAAGATAGTTTTTGTTTTAAATTGTGGTGTCACTGGTGAGAATACATTCTTAACTTCATTTAAAGATGAGGCAGTGGAGGCCCAGGGAGTTGGTGTGCCTTACTTAGGCCCACAGCTAATTAGCATCAGAACAAGAAACAATAGACCAAGTTTCCAGTTCTCTTCCTAGAAGCTTCTCCCACGCTCTCATCTGCATCAATGCTTCAGTTTTGTGACAGCTCCTAAGGAATCTAACCTGGGATCCTAATGCTCCTTGGGGTTGCCTTGGTGGATGGGCAAGTGGGATCTGTTGGGATTTCTGGATTCAGTCTACTTAAGATTTCAAGTTTTGTTCTGCCATTATTAGCTTGGGATCACAGCAAGTTATTTAACCTGTCTATAAAAATGAGCATCAAAAATATCTGCCTCAGAGGGTTGTTGTGAGAGTTAAACAAGATAACATGAGTTGTTTTCAAGAGCAATATGCTGGCAACCAACAACAGGCGATTGCTGTCATTTGGCTGATTTCCACACAGTTATGTGAATATTAGGAAGATATTATATAGAGAGAATTATTCTGTAGTATCCATTGGCAGGGGGAAAAGTATTTATTGAGCAGTCTACTATATGTTATATCAATGTTTTTGCCTCTTTAAGTATTTACTGGTATGCCTTGTATAGGAAGAAATGCATTTTAAGGATTGCTTCCTGAAAAGGGGGTCCTGGTTCTAGCCCAGCTGATTCCCCAGGGAATTTAAGGGAAACTGTGGCACAGAACTCAAATTTTCCTGGCCCTTTGTAAAATGATTATTCAGGCTAAGAGATTTACACAGGCCCACAGATCCTCCTAGCAGTAAGAACCGAAATTACAGTCAAATTGACTGACACATTATTGATGGTTTACCACCGTCCAAACAGGGGCTTCCACGTAGAAGTCACCGAGTTTGTTGAGCACGTGGGGAGGCTAAATAGCTAATGAAATGAATCAAGTTGAAACATTGGATTAGTCCCTCTTAAAAATAGACACTTGGAATCTGTAAAATGTCACCCTGTGTAAATCTTACATGTGTAATTTATACATGTAATACTGAATAGTCACCAGTATTCTGTCTGCCAATCTTCCACACTTCCAGACTTGTGTCTGTCTTTGTACATCCTGGAGCATTTAGTGAAATAAACAATCCAGCCCCTGCTCCTAACTCCTGTCTATAGAATTGAGTTGAATTATACAACACCGTGGAATTTCAGAGAACTGGGACAAAGAGGTAGTCCAGCAGGTTTTCAGAGAGAGAAAATCAGGTTCCCTAAAATTAAAAAGCAAGGGCCTCCCTGGCAGCCTAGTGGTTAAGTCTCAGTGCTATTACCACTGCAGTCTGAGTTCGATCCCCAGCCAGAGAGCTACCCACATGGCGCAGCAGACCTCTCCTGTCTCACCCACTGCTCCCCTCAGCAGTGTGTTTCAGTTGATCTGCCTGCTCTGCTCCCCACTCTGTCTCTGGTGAATCCTCTCACCCCCCCCCCCCGCCCCTGCACTTTTGGCCTACATCCCACTTCTAAGCAAAAACAAAGCAAGACAAAACAAAACAACTAAAAAACACAAACAAACAAAAAACAGGGACAGAGTGTCAACAGTGTTGTCATTAAGCCTCGCACTGGAAGTCAATGTGTTAGGGGGAAAAAGGATGTCCCAAAGCAAATTCCATATAGGCTTTGTGGACTCCACCCCCACCCCAGGTCAAAGCCAAAGACACTGGGAACTCCAAATCCCATCACCACCAAAGGGAAGGTGGCTGGGTTTGACCTGGGATGGGGGTGGAGTCCACAAAGCCTATATGGAATTTGCTTTGGGACATCCTTTTTCCCCCTAACAATTGGAACGATGCCTCTGGAGGCAAATCACCTCCTACCTGGAATTCTCTACCCAGAATGACACCACCAACAAAAATGTACCAGAAAAGAATCAAACATTTTCACACATTTCAAGTTTCAAACAAAGGTACTACCTTGTCCTTTTTTCCCCAGGAAGCTGCTGAAGATACGCTCCACCGAAACAAAGCAGGACGCCTTACAGAGAATCAGGCATCAGGAAGCAAGAGCTAGGACACCAGAGGCAGGTGGTGGGAATCCCTGAGATCAGGGGAACCGAGACTCCCAGGTAAATAGCTGTGTGCCAAAGTGGGGGGTGGGGGGGAGGGAAGCAGCTTGTTTAGATTAAAGCTGCTCAAAAGACTCTAGGAAAGATTTATTCAGAAAGGTGAAGCTGATAGAATTGTTTG